TTATTACTTCATAGCTAACATCCTGCTCTTTAAAGCGGGGAAGGGATCTGGCAAAGCTGTCGCTGTCTTTGCATGCTTGCCCAGCTGTGGTATTTTTAGATATTCTGTCAGTGGAATCTTACCGTGTGCTGCTTTAGGCCAAGCAGGGCGAAATCTCAGTGGAATAAAACGATCTATTTAAAACTGTACTTGGCAGACTTTCCTTGGGTTACTGAATCTGTAGGTTATTTATAACATCTTACATACAGTAGGAGATGATAAATGCTGCCTGGATAAAACAACGTGGTTAGACACAGAAGATGAATTCCCTTCCCCAGACAGCCAGTTAACTAGAATGAACGGTCCAGCTCCAGCAGTGCGTGAGCTCTAGTTCTCATGCCTTGGTCGGTGGGAAGTGGCTTGTAGGAAATGCCAGAGCTGCCGCGCTGGTCAGCCAGACGGCGTTTCTGTTGGCAGGAGGGCCTGGTGCCACTCCTCCCTATTAGGGTTTCCTGACACCTTCCGCTCTCAGCCCGTTTTCAGATGCTTATCACTTTGTGGCAGATTTCACCTGCTTGGGATGAATGTTGGTCTGTCCCGTGTGTGCCCCAGGCTGGATGTCCCCCTGTGAGCGGGCGAGCGGGGGGATTGGGCCTGGCTGAGCAAAGGGACTGGGGCAGGAGCCAGAAAGGAGCTGGGTCGTGGGGAGAGGATGCTGAGAGAATCAGGAGCCCGGGGAGGAAGTGGAGAGGCAGAGGGAACGAATCCTCATTTTACAGATGGGGAATGGAGGCGGGAGGCTGAGGTTTGCTAACTGCGGGAGCCCGATGGTAGCGAACAGAGGACCGGAGCTGGGTGCCCCAGTGCTGGGTTCTGTAGCTGCTTCGATGGCGGCCCTTGTTTTAGGGGAAATGGCGCGAGGCTTTTCCTGGGCCGGGGGGAGCTTTGCGATGCGGGTGGAACGCGGCGAGCAGGGCTGCACCGGTGGTGGCCGCCCGCTTGGGGACGTTTCTTTCAAGCCCCAGCGCATGGAAGGACTCAGCGGTTGCGGAGCAGAGTGCGTGCGCAGGAAGGCAGGCAGGCCCTGATGCAGAGCCTGAGGCGCTCTGGGCCTGGGGGGTGATCTCTGTCCATTTCTTTTACCTCATGACTCTATTTCCCGGTCTCGGTCTTTGTGGCGCTCGCCGGCCAACAGAAACCGGTGCGGCTGGGGATTTGCACTTCAGGCCGTAGAGCCTTGCTAGCACCGTGCACTGCACAGCTGTAACGCAGCACGCCCCTCTGGCCGGGCGCTCTCTGGGACCAGGGCCCTGCTGGAATACACTTGAACCTCTTCAGGCTGGCAACCCTGGGAACCAGGGATTAAAGCCTAAAGGTTTTGCTGGGGTGGGAGGGTGGTGCAGGGTCTGGGTGTGGGGCACTTGCCGTCCAGCTCCCAGGGGTATCCGTGGCTCCACGCCCTTCGCTGCTACGGGAGTGTCGGGGAAGCGGCTCTGCATGCTGCTGTTCCTCCTCCGTGCCATGCGTGTTCCCAGATTAGCTAATTCCTTATGCTCTGGCCTCAGCCGCAGGGTCCAAGCGTGGCAGCATCCAACCCAGAGCACGGCGGTGCCAGTCGCTGGGTGTCGCCGTGCCTCTGGCAAAGGCACGGTGGGTGCGGACTCTCCCAAAGGGCCTTCGACACAGACCCGCCGTGTTCACTGGCCCGTCCTCGGGCTGGCGCTCGGTGGTTGTGCAGTCGGCCTGTGGCGATTTGAAGGCTCAGCGTGGGTTACCTGAAAAGACACCCTGCCTGTTCTCTGCGGCATTGCACAACTGGGCCATGAATCTGTCATCCGTGGGGCCGTTAAATAGCTGTAATAAATTACCCAACGTGCAGCTGGCCAGCGGGGCGGTTTCATTGTCACATTCGCTGGGGAGAGTGGGAACAGGCGCTTCGGAGGTGAAGTGCAGGTTACCGTTGATGGACGACTGTGCTAAATAGACGTCAGGGTGCTTTGCCTCCGCACTCCTGGCAGCAATAGAGTGACAGTCGTTTGAGCAATCAATGGCTGGAAACCTGCACTGGGCCGTGTCCTTGGAGCGTGTTCCAGCACAGGGCCGTTCGCTGCTGAATATCCCTGGTGGGTGCGTGCGTAGGAGCCGTGTGCCACGGAGGGGAGAGGAACACCTCTATGCCACCCCCAGCCACGCCCATCGGTGGTGGCCTCTGAACCCCCGAGAGGTAAACCGCCAGCCGAGGAGCAGCGCACCATTCAGGACCTGAATGGGGGGGGCGGGCCTGGTTGCCGACAGGACAGACTCTGGCCTCCGCAGCCTCGAGGTCTGGAGCAGTGGTTCCCGCCCTCTTCTATACCACGGGCTGGCAAACCCGCGCACAAGCTTTTGCAGACCGGTAACGTTTTACTTGGATATTTGTCCCCCCCCCCCCGCGCCCCTCAGAGCGAGGCTGCCCCCCGAGGGAGTGGCTGTTGGCAGCACGTGTGCTCCCTCCTTCGAGCCCCCATGGCCGGGGGGCGGAGCACAGAGCCCTGGCCGGGCCGCCATTACCAAGGGGGAGGAGGGGGGGGAGGCACCTCCTGCCACCGCCCTTTACGACCCCTCTGCTGAGCCTGAGCCCAGTGGGAGTGGGGTTTTCGATCCAGATCTCTGCCCTCCCTTCCTCCGCCCCCACCCCTCCTCAGGGACCCTTCCCACAAGCAGCTCCTTATCCCGCAGGTGGGGGCGCGCCTCAGGAGTTCAGGAGCAGGGGGGGTTATTCCTGCTACTTCCTTATTCCGAAGGCCCCGGGGGTCTGCGCCCCTCCCAGGTCTCAGAGCCCTGACTGCATTCATAAGAAGGCTCACGTTGCACGTGGTTTCTCTGGCCTCAGTTATCCCCTGGCAGGATCTGGGGGGCTGGGAGGCCCCCCAGCCTCAAGGACGTGTACCGTCATGTCTCCATCATTCCAGCCCACTGTCGTGCCCTTGGGTGGCGGTGAGCCAGCGTCCGATCACAGGGCTGCCCTTCAGCCTCACCATGGCGCCCCCGGTTCTTACAAGGGGAATGGCTGGTGGCCACGTTCCTGCGCAGGAGCTGGGGCAGATCTTTCCGGACCTGGACGACTGGCTCAGCCAGGGCTCGTCTTGGGAACAGGTGCTCCGGTAGGAGGAGCTGGTCAGGGCCACGTTTTCTCAGCTGAATCTTATCCTCAATGTGCCAAAATCCACCCTCGTTCCTGCTCAGAGGGTCGAGTTCCTCGGGACCCTTCTCGATTCCGCTAGTGACCACCTCCTTGCGGGAGGCCCGATTCCAGGCTAGGGCAGGCTTTGTCCCAGGGCTTCAGTGAAGCCCGAACGCTACCGTGCGCACTTGCATGAGGTTCCATGGGCACATGGCCTCTTGTCCTCCATTCCACTCATCTTCAGCTCTGCCTGTCCAAGCGTGGCTGAGTCCGTCTGTCTTCAAGCCCTCCAGAGACCCTCTCAGCACCTGGTCACCGTACGGCTGGCAGCCCCGCGCCCCCTTGGCTGGTGGCTGCAGCCCCATGTGGTGAGTGCGGGGCTCCCCTTCGCCAGACCGCGATCGGAGGTCCCTCTAGTAACGGATGCTTTGGACACGGGCGCACCTGAATGATCTGTGGACCCAAGGCCTGTGGTCACGCGTGGCCCTGATGTTGCATGTCCGTATGAGGGAGCTCAGAGAGCTCGGGCGTTCCTGCT